GTGTCCGCCCCCCCCCCCCCCCCCAAAGAAAGTCTACCGCCCCTTCCCCCCCCCCCCCCCCCCCCCCCGCAAACCAAATAAAAAATTTATAGAAAATATATACTTTTAACAGTGTCCGCCCCCCCAAAGAAAGTCTACCGCCCCCCCCCCCCCCATTAAATTTCAAGTGCCCCCCCCCCCCTCCCCCGGAGAAAAAAGTCTGGAAGAAACACTGGCAAAGAGTGGATGTTCACAGCTTGTTACTATATACGAGGAAGTGGACAATTGCAACTAAAAAACTTCTTCAGAAAGTGGGCGCTTCAGTGGATAATTGCAGCTAGTGGATATCTACTCTATAGTAACGGATAACTAAAATAGGCGTATATAATTGTCAATTAAAGCTAGTATATATTTAGGCTTACTGTACAGAAATAGACAATTACAGATATTCGATATCTTCTTTACAGAAATTGACAATTACAACTATCGGATATCTACTATACAGAAATGGACAATTACAACTATCGGATATCTACTATACAGAAATGGACAATTACAACTATCGGATATCTACTATACAGAAATGGACAATTACAACTATCGGATATCTACTATACAGAAATGGACAATTACAACTGGTGGATTTCTTCTCTGCAGAAATGGACAATTACAACTATTTGATATCTATTCTACAAAAATGGACAATTACAATTATCGTATATCTACTTTACAAATATTGACAATTACATTTAGGGGATATCTACTTTACAAATACTGACAATTACAACTGTTGTATATCTACTCTACAGAAATGTACAATTACAACTAGCGGATATCTACAGAAATGGACGATTACAACTGGTAGGTACATACTCAAAAGAAATGGACAAATACAACTATATATTCTACAGAAATGGACAATTACAACTAGCGGATATCTACTCTACAGAAATGGACAATTACAACTAGCGGATATCTACTCTTCAGAAATGGACAATTACAACTAGCGGATATCTACACTACAGAAATGGACAATTAAAACTAGCGGACATTTAGAGCAAGCTCTACAGTCAACAAGGAAACACAATCCACCATCTCTAAGGACAGATGGACGACACCGGCCCTGCTCGTAATGACGGACACGCAAAACGTCCCGGGGCCGGGGTGCCCACATCACCGTGTTTGAAGGCCACGCCCTGACCTTCCCAATGTCAGCCAGGACGCAGGGCTGGTGGTCAGCGGGGTCAGCGCCAGACAACCCGGTCAGGCCATCAAAATTCCTCGTGATTACATTAGTGAATTGTGTCACAGCCATGCTATTTATAGAACGGTTTGGTGCAGTAATCAGTGATTATTTCACTCATCTCTCAGACTAAGAGGGGAGGGAGCACGATCACTCCACCCCCTCCCCCATAAAATGTGTACTTTAACCGTTGTCTGCCATTACTCAGTTATTTCAAGTGACCCCCCCCCCCCCTTACCCCAAGCAAAACTTATTTTAAAACACCTGACAGAAATAGAGATAGTTAAACCAATATTTAAAATATATATGCTCTGCTTTAGGATTTAAATTATGTTGTGGGAGGGGGGAATAGGTTAGGTTTAAAGTTATATTTAGTTCGGTGCGAACACTTCTAAGGTTGGTTCCTGGGTTAGGTTTGAAGAGTGATGTTTAAGTTAGATTTATAGTTACGCCGCTATTTAGTTGTTTCTAATTTTCAATAATTCATAATTTGTGAAATCGACAGTACCAACGCTGACACTGAAAATATTTCTTTAAAACACTATAAGTAGCTCGTTAAGGACCATAACCCCCCCCCCCCTCCTTCCCTCCCCCCCTCCTCCCCCCCCCCCCCATATATGCTTGTACAGCTGGCATTAGTTTGGACTCGGAGTCAGTGTTTCTTTCAGACTTCTTTTCACGGAGTGGGGGGGGGGGGGGCAAACACTGATAAAAGTATATATGATTTATATAAATTCCAATTCCCTAAGGATGGAGGAGGTAGAGTTTCGGGGGGGGGGGGGTGGCAGACCTGGAAGAAAACTCTGCTTGGAGCCATCACTGTTAGGTTAGCTTCAGTCCTCTGGTAAGGGTTAGTTAAATGGTGTGGAGTAAGTTGGTCTGGGGGAGGGGGGGGGGGGGGTGTTGGAGAGGGGAGAGCAGTCAGATGCATAAAAAGGTGTAATGTGTATTAAAAAGCATATGATAATGTAAAGGTTTTTAAAATTCGTTTATGTTAATACTGGTTATTAAAATTAATAAGTTGATATTTAAGTGTGTTAACTGCACATTTTTCTAGAAATTCTATCCAAAAGTTTTTTCCCCATCAGTTTTTTATTGTATCTCTTCCAGTGGCGTAGCGACCCTTCCCGGCGCCCGGGGACAAACTTTTAATTTGGCACATCCCTCTGGAACAAACCTTCAATTTTGAATTTGCACCCCCCTCCTCAAACTTTCCATTTGCACCCTCTCAAACTTTCTATTTACACCCCCCCCCCCCATATATTTTTTAAATATTTATAATGCAAAACTGCACCTAAAATGAGATTTTAATTTGTTTTTCCAACCCATTTTGGCACCCCCTAAGGTCGGCGCCCGGGGACATATGTACCCCCCCCCCCTTCGTTATGCCTCTGATCTCTTCACATTTAATTTATCTGTCCTTTGATCACAACACACATAACTCACAGGGCACTGATAGGGAGTCTCTGTCATCAAGATAGAGGCAGACCTGCATGATTAATAATCTTAGACTAGGGGACGCAACTGCTTAATTTGTCAGTACAGACTTGCCCCAGAGTGACAGTGCTTGGTTAGCTGAGACATAAATAAAATACTTAAAAAAAACTTTTTAAAAAACCACGTTTTTCTTGTGGACTAAAAAGTAGAAAATAACTATTTACATACATTTGATGACAAAAAACGTGGGTACGTTCACCATCAAATTTCCCGACCCATCTGCCCGACCCACGTTTTTTGTCATCAAATGTATGTAAATAGTTATTTTCTACTTTTTAGTCCACAAGAAAAACGTGGTTTTTTAAAAAGTTTTTTTTAAGTATTTTATTTTCTCCTTTTTAGTCCGTTGCTACACATGAAAAACGTGGTTTTTAAAAAAGTTTTTTATATAGTTTATTTTCTACTTTATCTAATGACTTGATTAAGTATGAATTGACTAAGTGTTTATAAATACACGGACTAAAAAAATCTTGAGCGACCAGGATTCGAACCTGGGTTGTCGCGGCCACAACGCGAAGTACTAACCACTATACGATCACGGCCAGCGCGCTCACATCGATTGGGGCCGAAGTAACTGTGTCTATAAGCCTCCAGTCTTGTCGGTATCTTTAGAAATCATGTCCTCAATTTTATGGTCCTTGGGGCGTAATTAAATTAAGCTAATTACCGTCTCTAATTGCTAGTTTTTATGATTGCATCTGAAATTGTTAGGCGAAAGTAGCCTACATGCCAAATTTCAGATCTATTGAGCAATCAGAAGTGGGTTAATTTTCGATGTCAATTTTAACAACAAACACACGCGAAGCTGAGTTAATAAAAACGTGTTAAAAAGCTTATAAATAAATAGACCCCTACACCCTTTTTATTTGAAAAAAAAAATATTTTTTTTTAAAAAGTCTACTTAGCGGAATTAATTTTTAATGGCACTTCATCAATTTCAGTGCAGAAAATAGCTTTGAGTTTGAGATGCAAGCAACGTTACTTAATGAATTAAACTAAGTACTAATACAGTGTTTCTTCCAGACTGTTCTCTTCGGTGGGGGGGCACTTGAAATTTTCGGGGGGGGGGGGGGGCGGTAGCCTTTCGTCGGGGGGGGGGGGGGCGGACACATTGTTAAAAGTATATATTTTCTATATAAATTATATAAATTTAATTTCTCTACCAATACATTAGAAAAACCAACGGTATTTATGTTGTTTTTAAAGTAATTCGTATTACTTTTAGTCGAGAAAATTGTATACATTTCATAGCGTAAGTCTTGATAAGTAGATCTATAGATCTAAACCAAATTTAAATAAAATTGTCCATTTCTTCATATTCTAAAATTGGAAGATGAAGCCATTAGCTTTGTGTTCTTTCCTTAGACTTAGTTTAAACTTCATATGATGTCATTGTTTCATGCATTCTTATCAAAATAAACGCTTTAGTTGGAAATCTGTTCTATATTCGAAAAAAGCTTTTATTTTTCTCCTTTAAATAAAATTTTGTTTACACATTAATATCGTCTGTATCCTTAAGTTCTCCAAGTATCACTGAACAGGCAGATGAGGTAGCCAAAAATATTGCGGACCGAGAGAAGTGCGCACATGGGCTTTTATATATTAGGATGTTTCTGTATAGCAACATAAACCATAACGTATTTTGCAGTAACAATGCGTAAATTTAATCCATTCAACAGGAAATCCCCCACACCCCAAAGGGAATACTATTTCATTTGTATGTGTGGCTTCTGATAGTCATTTCTGGATTACCCCGATGGTACACGAAAGTTAAGATGAATTCTAACACACTTCTGCCAACCACTGAGTGCTGTACATTGTAATTACACAATCAGAAGTAGCAAGTATTTAGATAAACTTAGAACCTGTGAACCAGTTCAATTTTACCAGCAGGTACTACTTTGTTATAAACGTATCTTAGATCCTAATCCATAGTTAATTAACCTTGTTGATACCATCTAATTCTATAAAACAGTCAAGTTATTTTTTTTAAAAAGTGTTTGAACTTTAAGACCTTAACATTAATTAAGACAGAATGGAATAAAGCCTGGAGAGGAAGAAAAAAATTGTATCAAGGAATAAAAGATAGTTTTGATTTACAATCCAAAACTTGATGGTCAATGAATGAGAAAAACAATGTCATGTTTAAAGAACAGGTTCTATCAAACTATCAACCAAGTGATTTTAAATAACTAGCAGTGCTGATTAAACTTGCCAGTTAGTTACTATCCTAATAAAATTGTCTTGCACATGGAATCAAACAAAAATAAAAAGCTTGAAACACTTTACATGAATTTTTTTTATTATCACTGCAAATTATTTATTTGGTCTTCTTGGACTTCATTTTCCTAATGTAAAACTCAAGTTCCTTGCCCTCAAGAACAAATCCATCAACTCTACCACACTGACCAGGCCTGGATGAAATCTTGGCTGTAAATAAAATGTTGAAAATCTTGCTATCAAAAATTATCTTTAAAAAAAACAAGATTTTTATATTCCCTAAAGCTTTAAGAAATGTGTAGGCAAGATTCATGACATAGGTGTTACACTTGTACAAAACCATGCTAGAAACAACCTTTAAAATACAGGAAAAATAAGATTTTCCATACAAATAAAAGAATCAGCAACTGGAGCAATATTAATTATAATGACAACCATATATTTCCAATGCAGGATCTCTTCCCAAGCCTAAGGTATATTAAATCACTTTCAGACCCCTAACCTAATGTTGCCTGTGTTCCATCACAAGTCACACCACAGCTTTACCTTCTAAAAATCAGTGAACATACAGCAAATAAGACCATTTGCAAAAATTGAGTTATATACTATCAGTTTAGAACTAGTGATCAGAGGTTTATATATCAGACAAAAGTAACAGTTCTGGTTGAAAAGAAATGGACTGACATCGTGATATAACCAAAAGCTTAGAATTCAACTTGACACTCTGTGCCATCTTTAACAGTAGCTAAAATTATCAATACATACAATTGAGGATTGAAATACCCTCATCTTTATTTTATATATTAAAGTCATTTCTAATAATCTGCAGCAACAAAAAAAAAAAACTACTCAACTGCTACAAAGCTAAAAATTGATAACCCAATATAAATTAATACATAGCAAACTACTAACTCAAGCCTAACATTCATACCCTGGGGAGCAATACATTAAAACAAGGTGGTCAGTGTAACTATGACAAGAAAAAAACTTCAATGTGGAAAAGCATTCACTGAAAAATACAGTCATTGCATTCCTTCAGGGTTCAACTTTACATCACTCCACCAAGTTTATAAAAAAATATTAAAAGATAACCAATTGTGTGCAATATAACCTCTTAAATCTGTATCAAGCTTATGTATGGATGCAGATTAACTAATGTAATATCACTCACCATAAACTCTGCCTGTTGCAAATTGTTCATCCAAGGCAGGTTCTACTTTTGCTATCTTCTTTCTTGCCTCGTATTTCTTTTGAGTTTTCTTAGAGCGAACTTTGTTTAGAGCAGCATCCTCTTCCTCTGACTGAAAAGAGTAGCTAAAGTTAAATGCTTATTTACTAAACCCCTGAAAAGAGTGCACAGTTATTGTTAAACAGGTAAACCTACTTACCAATTTGACACCCTTCTTGCGACCAAGGGGTGTGGCATAATGAGCCTCATACCACTGCCTGAATGGGGTAGAGTCAATCTGTACAATACAGCTTTTCACGAGGGTCTTTGTACGTACAAACTCATTGTTGGAGGCATTGTATACAACATCAATGATACGAGTCTTGCGAGTGACAGCTAAGGAAGAAATGGAAATTTTTAAGACATTTAGTAAACCATGAGTAGGAACTATCAAACTGCTTTTAAAGATAAGGTAACAAGTGAACCTGCTCACTGTTTGTCCAGTGGCAACTGGCAAATACTGCTAAACCTAATGTGGTCAGTGTAACTATGACTAGTTAAAGCCTTCAATGTGGAGAAGCATACACTGAAAAATACAGTCATTGCCTTCCTTCAGGATAATTTTCTTCATCATTCCACATCATGTTTGCACAAGTCTAAAAATAAAAAGCTCACCTTCACTACCCCAGGAAAAGTTTCCATGATCTTGACGCAGAGCTCGATATTTCTTGTTGCCTCCCATTGTCCGAATCGTGTGTATTCTCTTTGCTCCAAGCTAAAAGAATTTATGAATTAGTGATCATTGTTCCAATTTTTGCATACAGCTTTCAAACAAGACAATGTACGTGTGTTGATAACTATCACTAAACAATAAGTGTAGCTAGTCTCATAACGGGAGTTGAATTACCTCCCCTGACCCGCTTTTTTATGGCCACTTTCTAGTTCGTTTTTTTCGATCGCGTCTCGGCACTGTTGCTAAAAATAGCATTCGCGCAATACCATACGGGTAAATCTGTTTGGCGTCTGCTACACGTGATAGATCGTTGAATGGCCGACAAGCTGATATAAAAATTATTGCGACCGGATGCGATTTTCGTGGAAATTGAGCTAGATTTAGCAAAAGACAGCTATATTTGTGTAAAATATTATTATTTATACTTCTACTTACACAGATATTTTAATAACTGCAGTTCAGCCGTCCATTTTTCTTTTAAAATGTATCTTTAGAATTTCTGTACCTTTTGGCAATCGGTCAGGATCATTTGCGCACTAAACCCACCCCCCTACGGCAGATCCGATTTTTTTCCCAGTGAAGTCGTACTGACCTCCCACATAGCTAAGATAGTACATTGATACTGATGGGAAAGCCTCTAAATCTGTATTCCTACTAGAGATCTAGAAATAAATCTAGATCGTGGAGTTTTTATAATGACTTTTAAATTGAATGTCTCCAGTTTAAGATATTTTTTTAAAAACATAGCTACTTTTAGTACTATATTTAAGTTTTTCAAACCCTTTTGGTAGTTTTTTCTTATACTTAGACCTAGATCTAGTGATTAGATATCTATATTTTGTACTTATAACTTGCAGGCCTATTAAAATAATAATAAAACAGTTTGCTTGATAACTTCATTAGGTCATTTCAAAAACACAAATGTTAGATCTATAAACATATAAAAATCCCAAAACCATAGGTAATATCTGAATTCTGTAGCCTACCTTACATTTAGGCTAATACTGAATTAAAAAGAAATTACATTAAGGTTTGAAATTAATACAACTTGTTATTAAGAAAGAAAGCTTCAATTCTAAATACTACAAGATATAATAACAAACAATGAAACAAATTCAAAGCTTTTTTCAACCCATTTAGTCGAAAAGATTTTTATTTTTTCCGATATTGACCAAAATAAGTTTTTAAAGCTTAGGCCTACTGTTTTTACAAACATAACTCAATTTTATTAGGCCCCTGTAAACATTAATTAAGATTCCTCTGTAGACAAAGCAATCTATTTGGCAGATGAAGTAGAGTTCATGTTTCTTGACCTCGGCATATGAAGTGATTGTCCGTGTGGTCAGCGATATTCACAGCCGCCTTTACTTTTTACCTTTAATTTCCCCAATGTATATCAGGTACCCATCAGAAATGGGTGGACTCTAATTGAATTTTATTAAACAAACATTTTGATATAGGCCTAGATCTATAATCTATAACATTCCAAACATCTGTTCTGTAGAATTTACCTTTCTGCTTCCAAATGCGGTATTTTCCAATTGAAAATTCATCACAAAACATACAATAAATTATATAAATGGCATTTTATAAATTTATATAAACTATTTACTTTCACCTTGGTGTAAAAAAATGTAGGTATAAGCAAACTGATTTCAATAGTAAGAAAGAATCATGTCTTTTCTTGCTTACTAGCTTTAAAACAAGTGAATTTGACTTTTTACCTGCATTTTTGGTCGCGTTTCTATATATTTTATTTACGACACTAAAAAAATTATATTTAATCAACCGGTTATGCTAAATTAATAAAATTGGTACTGTTGGATTGCATTTTTAAAGCTCTACAATTATATGCTATTCTTTTTATAATTTGAAGAAAATTGAATTTATATGAGACTAACTAATAAGTGGGAGTAACCTTTGTGTGTGCTGGTGGGCGACCAAGTTCGAACTTTCGCTTCTTTCTTAAGGCAGCCATACGGCCACCAGTGGCCCTGCGCTTGTGCCATTTATCTCTTGAGATACCTGAAATTCAAAAACATAACAATGACAAAGCTATCTTAGAACGACTATTCAATTCAAGTGCACATGCAACTGCTCATTTAATTTTATTTCCAATTAAGAAAACGTATTACAAGAAATCTAGATCTAGATTCTCTTGGTTTAGATTTCTAGAGTTTAAATGTTTTTAAGAATGAAAACAAAGATGTAGACTTATACATTCACAAAATCAATTCGCAAAACTAAACACAAGCAGCTGAAAAGTTTACTGATTTATACAGTCTAGATCACCTAGTAAACATAGGTGTTTGGTTAATGCATCTTTATGATTATAGTATACTACCTAATTAATAATAATTGATTAAACAGTAATGGTAATATTTTAACAATTATTTTAGCATAAAACTGTGTGTATAAAGCTTTACACGAAGAGATGGATCGAGATTGCGGTGGAATAGTATTTAACACTCTTACCCATGATGGCGTCTATAGGGAAAAAGACTGTTCCGGAGCCGGAAACCAAAGACAGTGGTCACATTTTGCTGTTGTAAACAGGCCAAACATCATTTTTTAAAGAACCATTTCAATAAAAATCAACTATGAATTTAAAAAACATTTTTAAATAGCATCGATTGCTTTAAAATGAAAATAAATAATTTATAATTAAAATTTAGATAGGATTTATGCACTTTATGAATATTATCTTGAAGTATGTCGAAATTACATATATTTATCCAGTCTGGCAAATCTTTTCATGAAAATTTTAATAAATATCTTTTAGGCTACCGGTAAACTTTAAAAATTACTTTTTGTAAATTAAACTAAAATTAAATATGTTTCATTTACATGGCTTATTATGCAATTAAGATAATATATACTATTATAAAGGAAGACTTTTAAATACAAGCTGGGAAACGAAACTTTCAAAGTAACATCTCTTTAGGTCTATGTCTATCACATTGCCTATGGCTACCTGACCATCTATATCTTCTATATATATATAATTATACATATATATATATATATATATATATATATATATATATATATATATATATATATATATATATATATATATATATATATATATATATATATATATATATATATATATATATATATATATATATATATATATATATATATATATATATATATATATATATATATATATATATATATATATATATATATATATATATATATATATATATATATATATATATATAATTCTCTTCATGGAGACCATAGAAAACACCAAGCTGTAAGCGCGCCTAGCAGCCCCCTCTCTTCCTCTCTAGGCATATCCCTATCACCCCCACCCCCCTGTGGTTCACGCTAAATGTTTACAATCGTAAAGCCGGGTTTAGTGATGGCTATTGGGAGCAGATAATTTAGTTTGAAACTAGGGGGTGTAGGGTAGGGGTTGGGAGAAAGGAGGGTGGGGGGGGGGTTATCGTCCTTAACGACCTACTGATAGTGTTTTAAAGCAAATATTTTCAGCGGCAGCATTGGTACTGTCGAATTCACAAATTATGAATTACTGAAAATTAGAAAATAAAACTACTAAATAGCGGCATATGATATGCCGCGGGTCGGCTCGTACTATAGATTTCTAGACAGTACACAATCAAACTAGACTGGACAACGGTCGGAATTAAGCAGGTTTTCTTTAGGTCAACATAATTTTAAAACGTTCTGGCGGTAGACTTTCTTCTGCACCCAATTACAATAAATGAAACATTGAATTACATCTTCTTTTTAAGGTGTTCGCTTCACATGACTACCATCGCTGTCGTTTGCTCTCTTTAGAACTTCGTGTCAATTTTAATTATTGGTTATTTGTTGTGCTTAACTTTTCTCAAGACTAGAGTGCAAGTTGTTCTTTAGTTTTGGAAGATAAGGGTTTTTAAGGGTTGGATTATATAACTCTTTTACATTTAGTAACATTTAGTAACATGTTCCTTGATAGACTGACATCAGAAAGATATATATATATATATATATATATATATATATATATATATATATATATATATATATATATCCGTGGGGACCATGCGGGGCACCACGTACGTGCGCCGAGCCGCCACAATTCCTCGCTACCACCCCCACCAGTCTAATGAGCTGTTGTTCACGCCAAATGCTTAAAATGTAACTATTTCATTGTGTGCTACATACATTGCTACTGGTAATGTTTGTTTCACCAAAATATACGTTTGATCAGAGATTAGTGTTGCAGACATTTGCGAAAATTAAAAGGGGGTGGTTAAATATTTTAGTGAATATGATTTGAATATGATTTGTGAATCAAAATGTTAACACAGTGACCAAGTATAAAGTTAACAGCGTCTAAAATGCACAGCGGTTTTTGAAAAAAAAAAGAAAGTACCATCAGAGGGTGCTACGATTTAGCCGATTTGAACTTACACATACATTTATGCTTTCGTTTTCTAAAACCGACAGAGAAAATCAAAACAAAATTGTGTTTATTAATGAAGCAGAATGAACCTTTCAGCACTCACGAAAATATAAACTAGTTACAAGTATTCGCTTTACGCGATACAGCTAGAAAGCAAAGTTTCTTCCAAGCATCTCTTCGGGGTCCGCCCCCCCCCAACCCCCCCCCCCCCCTCCGAAGAAAGTTTAGTGCCCCCCTGGGAGAAATGGAGTTATAAAGAAAATATATACTTTTATCAGAGTCCACCCCCCCCCTGAAAATGTTGTCTGCCTCCCCCCCCCCCCACCAGAATATCAAATCCCCCCCCCCCCCCCCCCGGAGAAAAAAAGAAACACTGCTAGAAAGACAATCGGACATTAGATCGAAAAGTGACAAAAGATCCGTTTCAATATTAAAGCTCTCATCATACATTAAGCTCTTTTGAATTAAGCTACCATAAAAAAAATTCCCATTAAACATTATATTTAACATCCGCTTTTCATTAAGCTTTTTTCTCACGACTAACAGCTGGGAAAATTTCCTGGTAGGCCGCTGGGATTGGGAAAATTTCCCGTGTGTAGTCAGCTGTAAAAGGAATATTAAAAATATTATTAGTGCGGGTTTTTTTTTTTTGCTAAGTATACATTACAATCCCATTTGCATATTTTTTTTCCATTTAACCGTTCACCTTCCTTTTAGTCATAGTCGCGTAAAATTCAACTTTTCGATTCCGTTTACTCGGAACATAAAATCCAATCAGTAAAAGTTGTACGCATCATTAATCCAGATTTCAGAAATCGTGTGATCCGCGAAGCATTTTACTGTTAGTTTGAACGTCAATGAGGCACAAGTGGCAGATGAAGTAGAGTTCATCTGTTTCAGAGACCTCGGCATATGAAGGGGTAGTGCGGTCAGCACTATGCCCAGGTACCCATCAGAGCTGGGTGGACTCAGGGATGCTGGCCCCACCTCCCCTCCCCTGGCTAAACGTCTGATCTCAGGCTTTGATGGGTGGAAAAAGCGCATTGAAAAGTTAAGTCAGGGCTAGGGAGGGAGGCTAAGTTTTAAAAAGTGTAATCCTATATAACATATCTTCATGATTTAGGCCTGTATCGCGGTTATTAGAATATAGATGTAGACTTGATTATTAGGACTATAGCCTATAAGATCTGGTATATATTATTTTATAAGGCCTATAAAAATGCCACCCATACCACTAGCTTACTTATCCCTTATTATAAAAAAAGCATTTTAAGCACCATCTCTTCGGGGGGGGGCGTTTCGCCCCCCCCCCCCTATCCCCCGAAATTTTTTTACCGCCCCCCCCCCTCGAACGAAATTTATATAGAAAATATATACTTTTAACTGTGTCCGACCCTCCGAAGAAAGTCTACCGCCCCCCCCCCCCCCCGAAAATTTCAAGTGCCACCCCGGAGAAAAAAAGTCTGGAAGAAATACTGAATGTAAACCGCGATTCCACCCCTCACCCACCTAAACAAAATCCCTAACATCTAACAGTTGCCTTCTAATTTGAATTTGTATTGTTGCTATGCTCTTGTACCTAATTTGATTTTACCATATTTCTATAACAAACAAATAGGCCCAACTCGGCCTAGAACAGAAATCTAATTTTAGTAAAGGATCGGTTGTCTGTTCTATTCTTAATTCTAGTTGATCTAGATTAGATTAGACCTATTTCACTACAGTGTAAATGGCTTACCCGGTACGTTTGTGTAATATTGATTGTTTAAAATGATTGATTTTTGTAGGCCTACAAACTAGGTCTACAATTTGGTAAAATCTTAGTTTAGCGTCGTAAATTCGGCCAAAACTAGTAATGTGGGAGAGAGTGAATTAATGAATATGTCATTAAATATGAGTATATTTTCGTATATTTTAATTAAATATTATAAATAATTGAATAATAGATCACCATTGATGGTTAAATCAATTTAAATATCCTGAAATTAATTTTTATCAACCCTGTTCGAGATAGTAAATTTGCTATTAAAAACAGCAGCCATCTTAAGAAAATGTTATTGAGAGTAGCTTCCCTTTCATTTCTATTCATATGAAAATGTATTTAAATATGATCGTCTTGTTGTATAGTCCGTATTACAAAGCATTTTTTAAAATGTGAATTTCCTAACAAACAACTTTATTAATTCTAGAAGCATTGTGAGATGCAACTTGTATCCATGTATTAAATCACGTTTTTTCTTACTGAGAGGCGTAGCGACCCTTCCCGGGACAAACTTTTCGATTTGCACCCCCCCTCGAGATTTCGATTTGCACCCCCCTCAAACTTTCAATTTGCACCCCCACCCCCCTCGAGATTTCCATTTGCACCCCCCCCCCCTCAAACTTTCGATTTGCACTCCCCTCAACCTTTCAATTTATTTTTCCAACCCATTTTGGCGCCCCCTAAGGTCGGCGCCCGGGGACATATGTCCCCCCCCCCCCGTCCCCCTCGCTACGCTACTGATCTTACTATTACTAAATAGTTGTGAGTTTTTTCTTATTGTTTGAATGTTCACTATTTTCATTTCAGGTTTTTCTTTTCATCAGTTAGTAATTCTATCGTAACTTATGACATTTTTTTTTTTACTTCTCTTTACCTTAATTAAACCCCAACCTCCGTCATATTTTTGTCGTCAATGTCACAACAAGTCATAATGTAAAAAATTACGCTTCACTCTGCCTTATCTAAGATCTCTAACCATAATTTTGACAACATTAAATGTTTGTCATCATTTACATATACAAAGAGACCAAATGTATTATCCACCAGCTTCCCTCGTAAAACATCATCTAAAACAATGAGCCCGTCCACCCCTTAAGCGCGTGTTGTCATTATGGTCGATCCCAAGTCTCCACCTGCCAGACACATTTTGGTTATCCTTTCTTGTCAAATCGTCAATATCAAGTACACAAGTGAGTGATATGGGGTTGTCCATAAATGATGTCACAATGATGTCACATATGATTTGCTACGGGAGTGAGTGAAGATTTGTGACGTCAACTCAGGCGGCTTTGCAATTTATGACGTGTTGGTCTCATGAAAGGAGGTGAACGGGGAAAAATACCTAGGTGGTTGATGGAGAACCTCTATAATGCTTTGTTCAATCAAAATAACGATAAATAAGCATTAGTATACGTATACCTTGCTTAAAACACAAATGTCGCAAGCCTGCTAGTTTAAGACATTCGGCAAAACGTCCGCAACACATTATCCCCGTCAAAAAGGCTTGCCACCAAATGCCTGCCGACGAATAAGCCGTGTCTAATGCGGGGCGTTAGGAATACGGCCATTAGCATGGGCCACGTTAGAGCACCAGTAAGCTATCGCGCTTTGTAAGATGACGTAAATACTTAAATTCAATTTCGCTAAACTGCGCGAAAATTTAGTAATGTTCCATCGTTTGAGGAAATTTATTTTCTTGGACTTAAATTGAAATATGTTGACTGTCTGGTCTGGCTCTTAATTTCCGAATATCACTTTTAATGTATCAAGATTCAGAACTATAATTTACTTTAATATAAGTGTCATCTTATCGTTTATTGTGGTTTTTAAAAAGCGCAGAGCAGCTACAAAATCGGACGGCCATCCTGTTTTCACCAAGCTTCTTTTGGAGCTTAATATGGGTAGTCTAGTTCTATACGGTGTGAGCTTAATACATTTTTAAAGGGCCGAAAGTCTCAAGACAGCAAGCTTGCAGAAATAACTACGTACGTTTAAATGGACGAGTGATAGATGTGTTAGGGGCTGTTTAATGAACACCAACTTATGTAATCAAACTAAACGTCGCGAAAGCGTCAAAAAGGCAGTGCTTATTGTTTTTTTTTTCTATAAAATTAGCCTAACGGTCGGCGGTACCGCTACATGACGTCACGTGCGAGCGTTAACTCGGTGACGATGTGCTAAGTGGGGGAATGAAAAAGGTAGGGTTCAAGAAATGCGACTCGGCAAGCTTTTGACATTTCTTGACCTTTCTTAATAGTTTTTCGTCCCCACTGAGAAAATGGATCACCAATGAATGACGCGTCATAATTCTACAGCTGGTCTTTCTCCCACAACCATCCCGTTTTCACGAGAAAAAAAACCTGACCCGTCTCCAAAATCACATCGCTGAGTTCTACTCAACCTCTCCCCACCACAAATCACAATTTCTATCTGAAACAATATGTTCATATGTTTGCTCTGTAATAATGCACGCTGTCATTACTATCTTAAGAGCGACGTCATTTATGAGCGATCTAATATTGATTTGCTTACTGCAAATAAAGTGTTAAAAAGTTCGACCTCCCAACAATTGTTGTGGTCTTGGATGCACACTATTAAGTCTGATATGGTCTATTAGTCATTCATGTCAACTATATTTTTAAAAAAAGAAAAATTACTATACAGGGGGTCATCCATAAATGATGTCACGCTTTTTTTGACGATTTTTACCTCCCCCCCCCCTCCCCTCCGTCAAACGTAGTCACAAAAAGCCAGACCCCCCCCCTAAAATGACGTCACACCTCAGCCTACACCCCCCCCCCCTCAAAATTGCAGTTGAATTTTTTTTTAGCAGCTATATTTTTCCAAAATCTTGTCTGAACTCTGTCAAAATAGAGTATTTTAATCAATCGTTATTACAATGTATTAAAACAGTTTTTTAAAACGCAAAATAACGTCTAAAATTCGTTTTGTAACATTGCTTTTTTAAAATGCAAAAGTGTGATGTCGCACCGTCTGAACCCCTCCCCCTCCCCCCTCCCCCACAACGTCACAAAATTACGGGCCCCCTCCCCCCTACGAGTGTGACGTCATTTATGGACGACCCCCCGGCATATATTAAAACAATACAAAACAATCATATTAAACCACAAAATCAACACAAAAGACATGCGAATAGACAATTTATTGTTTTTAAAACATGGCCGCTGCTTATATTTACTCATTGTTGTCTCGAACGGGGTAGTTTAAAGTTTATTCCAGGATATTTATGACTGGTTTGGTCTTGGATTGTGATTTGGTATTCAATTATCTGTTATATTATGTAAAATATGACATAAATATGGCCAAATGAAAGAAATATTCATTGGTTACCTTCATCGCACATTACTAGCTAAGTTGGAATTTACGACGCTAAACTAAGATTTTACCCAATTTTTGGTAAAATCTTAGTTTAGCGTCGTAAATTCGGCCAAAACTCAAACTAGTAATGTAGGAGAGAGTGAATTAATGAATATGTCATTAAAATTAAATATGAGTATATTTTCGTATATTTTGATAAAATATTATAAATAATTGAATAATAGATCACCATTTATGGTTAAATCAATTTAAATATCCTGAAATTAATTTTTATCAACCCTGTTCGAGATAGTAAATTTGCTATTAAAAACAGCAGCCATCTTAAGAAATTGTTATTTAGAGTAGCTTCCCTTTTATTTCTATTCGTATGAAAATGTATTTAAATATGATTGTCTTGTTGTATAGTCCGTATTACAAAGCATTTTTTTTTAATTCTGCTCTTTAAAGACTGAATTTTCTAACAAACAACTTTATTAATTCTAGAAGCATTGTGAGATGCAACTTGTATTCATGAATTAAATCACGTTTTTTTTTTACTAATGTTAATTTGATCTTACTATTACTAGATCTAGATCTAGAATCTATATAGTTTGAGTTTTTTCTTATTGTTTGAATGTTCACTATTTTCATTTCAGGTTTTTCTTTTCATCAATTAGTGATTCTATCGTAACTTATGACATTTTTTGCTTCTCTTTACCTTAATTAAACCCCAAACTCCGTCATATTTTTGTTGTCAATGTCACAAGTCATAATGTAAAAAATTACGCTTCACTCTGCCTTATCTAAGATCTCTAACCATAATTTTGACAACATTAAATGTTTGTCATCATTTATATATACAGAGAGACAAAATGTATTATCCACCAGCTTCCCTCGTAAAACATCATCTAAAACAATAAGCAAGTCCACCCCTTAAGTGCGTGTTGTCATTATGGTCGATCGCAAGTCTCCACCTGCCAGACACATGTTGGTTATCCTTTGTTGTCAAATTGTCAATATCAAGTACACAAGTGAGTGATATGGGGTTGTCCATAAATGATGTCACATATGATTTGCTACGGGAGTGAGTGAAGATTTGTGACGTTAACTCAGGCGGCTTTGCAATAATTGACGTCTCATGAAAGGAGGTGAACGGGGAAAAATACCTAGGTGGTTGATGGAGAACCTCTATAATGCTTTGTTCAATCAAAATAACGATAAATAAGCTTTAGTATACGTATACCTTGCTTAAAACGAATCATCACAAATGTTGCAAGCCTGCTAGTTTAAGACATTCGGCAAAACGGCCGCAACACATTATCCCCGTCAAAAAGGCTTGCCACCAAATGCCTGCCGACGAATAAGCCGCGTCTAATGCGGGCCAGTGTTTCTTCCAGACTTTTTTCTCCGGGGGGGCACTTGAAATCTTCGGGGGGGCGGTAAACTTTCTTCGGGGGGGCGGACACTGTTAAAAGTATATATTTTCTATATAAACTATATACATTTCATTTCGTTCGGGGGGGGGGGCGGTAAAAATTTTTCGGGGGGGCAAAGCCCCCCTGAAGAGATGCCTGGAAGAAACTCTGTGCGGGGCGTTAGGAATACGGCCATTAGCATGGGCCGCGTTAGAGCACCAGTAGGCTATCGTGCTTTGTAAGGTGACGTAAATACTTAAATTCAATTTCGCTAAACTGCGCGAAAATTTAGTAATGTTCCATCGTTTGAGGAAATTTATTTTCTTGGACTTAAATTGAAATATCATGTTGACTGTCTGGCTCTTAATTTCCGAATATCACTTTTAATGTATCAAGATTCAGAACTATAATTTAATTTAATATAAGTGTCATCTTATCGTTTATTGTGGTTTTTATAAAGCGCAGAGCAGCTACAAAATCGGACGCCCATCCTGTTTTCACCAAGCTTCTTTTGGAGCTTAATATGGGTAGTCTAGTTCTATACGGTGTGAGCTTAATACATTTTTAAAGGGCCGAAAGTCTCAAGACAGCAAGCTTGCAGAAATAACTACGTACGAGTGATAGATGTGTTAGGGGCTGTTTAATGAACACCAACTTATGTAATCATATTAAACGTCGCAAAAGCGTCAAAAAGGCAGTGCTTGTTGATTTTTTTTCTATAAAATTAGCCTAACGGTCGGCGGTACCGCTACATGACGTCACGTGCGAGCGTTAGCTCGGTGACGATCTGCTAAGTGGGGGAATGAAAAAGGTAGGGTTCAAGAAATGCGACTCGGCAAGCTTTTTACATTTCTTGACCCTTCTTAAAAGTTCTTTCGTCCCCACTGAGAAAATGGATCACCAATGAATGACGCGTCATACTTCTACAGCTGGTCTTTCTCCCACAACCATCCTGTTTTCACGAAAAAAAAAAACCTGACCCGTCTCCAAAATCACATCGCTGAGTTCTACTCAACCTCTCCCCACCACAAATCACAATTTCTATCTGAAACAATATGTTCATATGTTTGTTCTGTAATAATGCAAGCTGTCACTACTATCTTAAGAGCGACATCATTTATGGACGATCTAATATTGATTTGATTACTGCAAATAAAGTGTTCAAAAGTTCGACCTCCCAACAATTGTTGTGGTCTTGGATGCACACTATTAAGTCTGATAAGGTCCATTAGTCATTCATGTCAACTATATTAAAAAAAAAAGAAAAATTACTAAACAGGGGGTCAACCATAAATGATGTCACGCTTTTTTTGACGATTTTTACCTCCCCCCCCCCCTCCGTCACACGTCGTCACAAAAAGCCAGACCCCCTCCCCTAAAATGACGTCACACCTCAGCCTACAACCCCCTTCAAAATTGCAGTTGAATTGTTTTTGAACAATTATATTATAATGTTATATTTTTCCAAAATCTTGTCTGAACTCTGTCAAAATAGAGTATTTTAATCAATTGTTATTACAATGTATTAAAACAGTTTTTTAAAACGCAAAATAACGTCTATAATTCGTTTTGTAACATTGCTTTTTTAAAATGCAAAAGTGTGACGTCGCACCATCTGAACCCCCCCCTCCCCCTCATCACACAACGTCACAAAATTACAGACCCCCCTCCCCCCTACGAGTGTGACGTTATTTATGGACGACCCCCCCCCCCCCCCCCGGCATATATTAAAACAATACCAAACAATCATATTAAACCACAAAATCAACACAAAAGACATGCGAATAGACAATTTATTGTTTTTAAAACATGGCCGCTGCTTGTATTTACTCATTGTTGTCTCGAACGGGGTAGTTTAAAGTTTATTCCAGGATATTTATGACTGGTTTGGTCTTGGATTGTGATTTGTTATTCAATTATCTGTTATATTGTGTAAAATATGACATAAATATGGCCAAATGAAAGAAATATTCATTAGTTACCTTCATCGCACATTACTAGCTACGTTGGAATTTACGACGCTAAACTAAGATTTTACCCAATTTTTATTTAATATTTAACTTTTAAAATTTAAATTAAACCAGTGTGAGAGTTGTAGTGTGTAGGAACTTTTAGAGACTAAGAGTAGGAAGTGTTAGTGTAGGACAGGTGTAGGTAGTGTCCTACAGTAGACTAGATCTAGATCTATAGACTATAGTCAACTAGATCTGTAGGCGTAGTGTAGAGAGTGCAGTCTAGTCTAGAGTCTCTAGATCTAGCTCTAGTCTTCTGGAGTAGAGTAGAGACATGGGGTTGTCATAGTAATATTAATATCTAGTGATTCTAGATCTAGAAGATCTTGAAAAACCCAACTATTTTCTAATTGACATGATGCTGAATATATATTGAAGACCTACAAAAATCTCTGTAGAGAGGTGTACATCAAATTCAATGATGATAAAGACTATGATAATACATTTATACATTAGGTCTACATTACAAAAGATAGTTTTCCATAGTTTAAATTTAAGTTGTTAGTATTACTCTACTTTTGTAGGCGTACTAAATAAATAATTGCAATTCAACGCCTTACCAGCTCTCTTACATTTACAATTTATTAGCACTTTAATTAATACCAATATTTTATTTATTATCTCTTTTCTTAAGGGACAGTATGGATATGGAGGACAGCCAGGTGGTTACCCTGGTGGTGCCCCAGGATATGGGGGGGCACCTGGGTATGGAGCACCACAGCATGGGTATCCTGGCCAACAGCCCTATCAAGGAGGGCCTCCAGGTAAAAGTATGGCACGATTTTTTCTGATTACTTAGACGTAAAAATCAACAAGGCTGAATCTTTGTTCATTACGTATTAGTAATAATTTAAAGTATGAATGTAAGTACAACTGCTGAATAATCTATTAAAATTTGAGGTTTTCACTTAATTTTTTTTTGCTAACAACATTACAATGTAAAAAGATTTCTTAATAAAGGCTTCAATACAATTTCCTTGCATGTTTTAAAATAATTTTTTATACATAAAAAACATGCTAACCAAATTATAGGCTGTCTTCTATTAACTAATTATTTTTAGAACAATAAAAAGCAAGAGAGAATTTGTTCTACCATACCTTTGTTTTGCTAATTTAATTATTACATTTAAAAGAAGTTGGTATTACAATAGTTGTTTTTTTTTTGTTTAGCTTATGGTCAAGCTCCAACGATTGACCCACAAGTCCAGCAATGGTTTATGTCTGTGGATGGTGACAGGTCAGGCAGAATAACAGCTTTAGAGCTGCAGCGAGCACTAGTCAACACAAACTGGACACAGTTTAACGAGGAAACCTGCCGGCTAATGATTGGTTAGAAAACATCCATAATTACTCACCTGTTTTAATAAATCTTATGTATGTAACTATTTGAGTTTTAAACACCTGCATATTTAATGTCTACTGATAGCAGTATTACAATAGATTAGATTTTGGTATTTTAATTTTATTCTTTGAAAGCATTTATAATTAGACGGAAAATAAATAATTAGTCTTTTTAAAATTTTTGTTCAGGTAAACTTAACACTTATATGAATTATCTATAATGCTTTTAAACTTTACAAGGGTTAAACAGTTTAGTCTTAAAAGATTCTTTTTAATAAATTGCCATTGAAGCTCTGATGCCTGTTAGTTTTTTTCACACATTTAAAAATTTAGGTATGTTTGACAAAGACTTTAGTGGCACCATTGACTTGTACGAGTTTCAAGCACTTTGGCATTACATTCAACAGTGGAAGGCTACCTTTGATCGTTTCGACTCCAATAAATCTGGTTCTATTGAGGGACATGAGCTCCAACAGGGTGAGGAGTAGTTTATAACCTGGTAGAGTTTTAATAGTAAAAACAGGAAGTACCCTTTAGTGCATCGGGCTGGTAAAGTGGAGATAGTGTGGTCAGCACTACACCCAGTCATCTGTCCTTCCCTTGCATTAGTCTGGTACCCATCAGAGCTGGATGGACTCAAGGATGTCTTACAGTACAGACTTAGCCCAGGATCCAAACTCCAGACTTTTGGGTTTGCATTCTCTACCTCATGACCCACTTATAGTAAAAGTAACCATTTCAAATACAGTCCATGGGGCAGGTGAATCTGAGTTCACTTGTTTCAGTGACCTCTGCAAATGATTGTGTGGTCAGCATTATTCCCGGCAGTCAGGACCCCTATTTAGGTGGACTCAGGGACATCCTATGCACTAGAGCCCCATCTGACCATACAATGCAAAAGGGTATTTATTCCTTCCTACAAAATTAAGCTAGCCAGTAAACCTAACTAAAGACAAAATAAATCTGTCAAGTTATGTTGAGAGGCACATGTCCTAATATGTCAGACTCCACCAAACTGATAGGTACCAGCATCAATTAATCGAAAGTAAAAGCCATTGGACATTTTATTTATCAACAATCCTTTTATATACTTAAGCTTTGTCTTTCCTATCGATCATTAGATCATTAGATCTATAAGTGTACTTATTATTCTCTGCGTCCATCATAATTATATATTTAAAGAAAACCAATTTTAGTAGAGTAATATTCTCTTTTCTTGAATTATATTGTTGAATTATACTTATTAACTATGCTTGGTATACAGAAATGGGAATTTTAAGCAGTAACTAAAATTATTATTCTTTTTTCTTCCATTATTTGAGAATAATTTAAATTTAAAAAGTCAGCTTGTTTTGATACACCTTGAACCCTTTTATAACAACCTACAATAAAATAATAACATATATAATTCTTCACTCCAGCCTTTCAGCTGATGGGGTACAATGTATCACCACAGTTTGTCCAGACTGTGGTCATCAAGTTTGACCATTATGGACGTCGTAGCTTGACCTTAGATAACTTCATACAGTCTTGCGTGATGCTCAAGTCACTGACTGACGCTTTCAAGCAGCGGGACCACATGATGGCGGGGCAGGTGAGGATGTCCTACGAGGAGTTCATGCAGCTGGCTGTCTTGTATAAGCCCTAAAAGTTCTCTCATCCACTGTGTTATACAACATACTGTTGACATTTTTTTCTAAGTCCTAATTTTTTTATTATATACAACTTTGTTGTTTGTATTTGATTGTAGACTTTTAAAAAAATTATATTTGCATAGCACTGAGTTGTTTTATTTAAAATTGTTAGCCAGTTAAAATGTTAATGCATGTTGTGGATATTTTAGTCATACCTAAATGGTGGCTAGTCAAGGTAATCCTAACAAAGGCTATAAGACTCCTGTAGACTTATGTAGGTAACTTTCCTTCACCTGCCCTCATGGACTGACAAGTTCAGAAAAGGGAACTTTACCTTTTTTAAGTTCAGTTATTTTTTGCTGATACCTTATATAGATTCTGATAGAATAACACTTAGGTAAGGAGCACAGAGTGCCCTTCTGACTAATAAAGAAAACCCAACAAAGCTTATACCTGTAATGTTAAGTATACACCAACATCAGTTATAATTATGTGATCAACTGTGATGGGCCAGTGAGATTTGATAAATTTAAGAGCCGTCTGAAAGCACATTTTTTATCTTCTTATATCACCCAATTGTATGAACTGTATTTATTAAAGGTGGCATTAAATGTATGCTTATCAGTATAATTATGTAAATTTTTTAAGTTTATAGGTAAATATTGTCAAATGACTTAATATTGGATTAAAGTTCCACTTTTAATGAGAAACATGATATATCACCATACAACTTCTTTGTTGCCTAAGATTTTGCCTTAATTTGGTTGGTTCATCTAGAAACAAGTTCACACAAGCTGTTTATTACTTCAGAAAATGTTTTCTCATTGTTCTGCAACATGTTTTGGAAAAATGTGTATTCCCTCTTTTGTTGTAAAAAACAATTTTAGTAAAAACATTTAATTACTCAAACATTAAATTTATTTATAAAATTGTCTTCTAGTTGTGAAATTTTCATTTATGCAAACAATTGTGGAATTTCTATTAATGAAAGTCTTATAAACAATATAATTTTTAGATGTCAGAGAACTGGTTTATGTGTTAACATTTATGAAGAAAATTAGACAGAAAAACTCAAAAGAAACAAATGTATGAGTAGGTGTATTTATTTATTAAACATTTTAAAAAGAATGCTTCATCAGGAGAGAAAGAAATTAAAAAAAAAAATTTTATAGAAAAGTTCCACCTAATTATTTTTTTATTCATCTATAAAATGATCAAAGTTGTAATTATATAATGATAACTGTCGTGGAATGTATTCAGGTTGATACAATATGTACACAATGAGAACTCTGGATATTACAGTTGTTGAGTAACTCTAAGGCAATATAAAAAAATTATTCAAATTTAAAAGTTTGCAACCTGTACAAAATATATACAAGAAAATTTGCATTCTGTCACAACTTACAATAACCATTAATACAAAAAGATTCAATGGATATTTATGCTTATAAACTGTTGAACATAAGCATCACATTCTGAATAACATAAAACATTAAACATTTATTCTTTGAAAACATATATTCATCCTCAGCAACATTCATACCTAATAGATCAAATATCTTCTAAAACCTTGGATTAGGCTTAACGGCATAAGCAGGTCCTTTGTTTGCCCTAATCTCTTCCTCCCTGATACGGACGTAATCTGTGGCCAGACACATGGCGGAAAATACGGAGAAAAACCCGGAGAGGACAGCAAATCCAAATGACCATGACAGGAAGTTAGAATCAGGATTGGGTAGCCACTGTCTGTCGATATCAGCTTTGATTCCAAATATCGTCACAGAGACAGAAATAAACAAAACTGAAAAAAATAATTTATAAATCATATTTAAGTTTTTTGTTTATTTTCTCATAACAAGCAAGGGTATAAACATGAAGTACACATGCTTTATGAAGAAATCTAAATATTTATTTTTTAAATCTCAATGTAACTTAAATTTACTGAAGCAAAAAATATAATCTTTTTGAGTATTACTGAAATAACATAAATGAGTGGACCCGCTATTTAGTTGTTTTTTCTACTTTTCAGTAATTCATAATTTGTGAATTCGACAGTACCAATGATAATATTTGCTTTAAAACACTAAACCCCCCCCCCCCCGTGAAAGCAGCCTCCTCTTAGTTACCTCCTCTAAGTTTAAAATCATTTCAAACTAAATTATCTGCCCCTAATAGCCGTCACCAAACCCGGCTCTACAACTGTAAAATGTAAACATTTAGCATGAACCACAGCTCACCAGACCATGTAAGGGGGGTGGTAGCGATAGAGAAGAAGAGAGGGGACTGCATGGTGCGCTTGCAGCTTGTTTTTCTAACGTCTCCCAGAAGAGAATTATATATATAGATAAGATATTAGATTTTATATTCTCAATTTCAATTACGTGTACAACAGCTGATAGCGAATGTGTCAGTTTCTTTCAGGCACCTTTATGAAAGATGACAATGCCCCTCTTTAAACTTTTTAAATTATATATATTTTTAAATCAGTGTCTGCTCTTCTTCCATCTCCAGTAGTTTCCACTGATTACCCCCACCCCTCTTGAAAAATTTGTGTTTAAAAAACCCTGTGTGTAATGTATCAAGTTTAGTTGTTGGCAAACACTGACACACTGGACATGTACACAAAAAACCCAATATAACAGGCTGAAACAAAATAATGAGCCTTACATGATATAAACATCAAGATGGCATTGGACTTGACATGCTTCCCTTCCTTCTCTTTGGGTAGGCACCTGACATAGTACATGATGTTCATAACCACAGTAATGAACTGCAGCATCAAACCCAGGGTGATCAAGATCTGCACAGCCAGGAACCAAGCTGGAAAGAGGGGAAAAAAATGGTCGCTGTTAGTAGCCTATAGAGCAACAGTACGCGGTTCAATGTGTCTTGGGTAAAAAGGAAAAAATGAAGCTTTTAATAAAGCTTAAGTCTTGGAACCATAAACTATTTTTATGTAAACTACTAAGGATAATTGGGTTTACTGTTTTCCGAATAATACACTTCCAAAAATAGGTGTGTTATGTTGTTAGTAAAAGTAAAAAAGTTCCTGACGGTCTATGAGGCAAGTGAAGTAGAGTTCACTTGTTTCTGTGACCTCGGCACATGAAGAGATAGTGTGGTCAGCCCTATGCCCAGCCGCCTTTCCCTAACGTCTGTTAGGTACCCATCAGAGCTGGGTGGACTCAGGGACGGACTACTGACTTGAACCCGGATTCGAACTTGAGACTTACGGGTTAGCAGTCCAGCTCTCTACCGCTAGACCACTCTGTCCCATATGTTGTTAGTAGTATTGTAATATCTGGTTAAAAATTACGGTTAGGTATAGGACAAGAGTTGGGGATTAGGATCAGCATTGAGATTAGCAAGTCATATGAAGTGAACATGGTTAACTACAACTACAAGTAACCTACCACCCCCTTTTTAAGAACATTCTATTATTGTGTGATGTACACTGGTAAAAGTAATCCACCACTACTAGAACTTAAGCCTGTTCTACCAACACTATCACAAAAGCACATACACAATGCTGTTCCAATGCAGTTTTAATTCCCCATCTCATTATCCCTTTATGTCTTCTCTTTCATATCAAAGAACCCATATCTAATTTGTTTTCCTTAAAGTTAAAGACAACAACTCTGGTACTCAGAGGCGTAGGGAGGGGGGGGGTGCAGACCGCACCGGGTGACGCCATTTAGGGGGTGACACCAAGGCAAAAAATAGTAAAATACATAGGCTGGGCATAGAACATAAAACTACCCTTCATTTGCAGAGAGGTCACAGAAGCAAGTGAACTTTACTTGTAGGTGGGTCACTGTTTACTAAAGTATTATCTTTTCAAGAAAGTTTTAGATAAAAAGAAAACAACTAATATTTAGATCTAGTACTATAACAATCATTTACCCCCCCCCCCCCCCCCCCTTCGTTTTTCAAGACACTGCTTCCGCGTTCCCAATGACTGGTGCTGTATGTAAAGTATACCTGGGTAACTAAGATTTGGGACCCTGTGAGTATAGCAGAACCTTCTGTAAACTTAGGGGGAGGGGTCGAGTTGCAAATTGTGAACCCCATGGGACTTACGTGGGTTGAGCCAGGGCCACACGGGACGGTACTCGTAGTGGAAGATCCACCAGCACCCGTTGTACTTCTTGCTGAGGTAGTCTTTGTAGAAGGTCCAATCGTTGAAACAGGACTCCCACAGACCCATGCGGACGAAAACCTTGGTCATCCGCTTGTGGGGGAATCTTTCAAGCCAGTGTGGGGTCGCAAAAGCTATCACGATACATATGAAAGCACAGACTGTAAACAGAAGGCCGAAGTTGGCGATGAAGCGTTTGGCCCTCTTCAGCGCCATGTTGAAAGTTTACTTGATGTTTAGATCTGCCAGAGGAGATTAGCATCTGTTAAGTTATTTTTTATTTAATCTCACCATATAATTTAGTGTCAGTAAAAATAATTTTTATTCTACCGAGTAAATATAATTGTTTAGTTTTACATCTATAATTACACTATAATATATATTGTATGCTGTTATGAGTAGAAAGGTATTGCTTAGTAAAAACAAGGAAAACACTAGATTTGTACACGACAACCTGGCATTTGTCGTATTTACACCTGAGTTGAACGCGGAAGTGCGAAAACGAGGCCGAGAGTAGGACACCTGGTTTGACCCATTTATATTCAGGTGACAAAATTTTAGGGGGTGTTGAATGCGAATTTTTAAAAAAATAGTAATAGGTTTATAACATGTTTTGAAACTTTTCAAACAGAAACATATATTTTATTACTAATATGTTTTTGTTTGATGATAATTTCAGCATAAGATCAGAATATACATTCAGCAACAATTCATGTCAACGCTGAACTACCTTCGGATGGTTGAGTCCTATAAAAGTCAACCAAAATACTGAACGTCCGGTGTAGCAGCAATACTGAAGATGGCGACGGAAAAGTTATACCGTGTTGCCTTCATCTGTGCGATTATCGCCTTTGTGGCTATGTTCGTGGGATTCGCATCGCCCTTCTGGTACAAGTCATGGACCCGTGTCTTCAGCCCGTTCGGGACGATTGGGCTCTGGCACGTCTGCCTCAACGGCTTCATAAAACCTGCAGATCCGATCATGAAGTCGTACGTGGGGTGCTGGTGGATTCATTCGACGGAGTTTTCCGAAATTGAGCATTCTTTGCAGCCAGGTTAGAGGGCATTTTGTTTGTTTTGGCCTATAGCCTATACTACTGTTACTTGTCTAAGTCTAATTGATTAACGTATTGCATAACGAAGCTTCCAAACATGTCCTTGATCATCCATTTGTTAAACTGTTAGCCTTAAGCCTTAATGACTTCCGTATTATTGTTACCAGAGTTTCTTCCAGGCATCTCTACGGGTTCCCCCCCCCCCAACAAAATGGAATTTATATAGAAAATATATACTTTTAACAGTGTCCGCACCCACCCCCCACCCCCCTCTGAAAATTTCAAGTGCCCCCCAAGGAGAAAAAGTCTTGAAGAAACACTGATTATTACTAATCTTACTACTACTTACCAGATTAAGAATCTAGTTTCAGTAGATCTATTTTTATTAAATAAAATATTTCACTGCATTGAAATACTTTTCATTATTAAATATTAATAGATCTAGAATCTAGTAGAATCTAGTAGGGTACTAAATAAAATAGTAAATTAGACCTAGTCAGTATAGATCTAGTAGTATTTGATCATTTAGTGACATTTAGAATGAGCTAATGAATGTGTTAGTAGTTTAGGTGTTTAACTGCCTCTGTCAGTAAAAACCCTGCTGTCAGCTAACTAACCACTGATAACTTGACTTGGTCCTCTTTACCCCTTGTGGAGCATAGGGCCTCAACCATACTCTTCCTCATTGTAAGGTTCCGGGCTGTGTTAATTAACCAATGATAAAGAAAATTATTTGTTGCAGTGTGGTTTCGCTTCATCCAAGCCTTCAGCATCATCGTGTTGTTTGCTGACCTGCTGGGTATGATATTTTCACTGCTGTACATGCATGAGGACTCCAGGGCTCGTTTGTACAAAAATCGTCCCAGAATGTTCTACATCAACAGTGCGCTGATGCTCGGTGCAGGTGAGTTGTGTTGGTTATCCCTGGTTCTAGGTACATGGTACAGGTGTTTTAACACCTGGTTCTAGGTGCAGGTGAGTTCTGCTGGTTAACACCTGGTTCTAGGTACATGGTACAGGTGTTTTAACACCTGGTTCTAGGTACATGGTGCTGGTGTTTTAACACCTGGTTCTAAATACATTGTACAGGTGTTTTAACTCCTGGTTCTAGGTACATGGTACAGGTGTTTTAACATCTGGTTCTAGGTACATGGTACAGAGGTTCTAATACCTGGTTCTATATGCAGGTGAGTTCTGCCAGTTAACACCTGGTTCTAGGTACAATATACAGGTGTTTTAAAACCTGGTTCTAGATACAGATGAGTTGTGCTGTTAACACCTGTTTCAAGGTACATGGTGTTTTAACAACTGGTTCAAGGCACAAGTGAGTTCTGCCAGTTAACATTTACTTCTAGGTACAGGTGGCAAATAAAACCCTGGAATTATTGGATTAGTTATGTTCTTCTTCATATGCCAAGGTCACAGAAACAGGTGAACTCTACTTTACTTGCCCATGAGACGCCAGGTTCAAAAAACAGAATTTTATTATATTTTTCCAGAAAAGAAATGACTACATATACATTTGGTCGAGCTAACATGTTTTTGAAAGATTTATAGGTAACGCAAATATTTTCTTCACTGCCCTTTGTTGTTGAATTTCATGAAGTCTTGTTGTACTCCCCACAGCCTTCTTGGTGTTCCTGATAGCTCTTGTGTTTGCTGAGATGAGCAACGACTCTGGGTGGATGCCCAGGCCGTGGATGAATTACCTCTCCTGGAGTTATGGTTTAGTGGTGCTCTCAGGATTTTTCTCAGCCCTCTCTGGCATGTGTTTGTTTGTTTTAGGGATAGTATTTCAGGTTGGTATATTTTTGTAGTTGTAGTTAATGGTAGGGTTAGAGATGTTTGTTAGAGATTGGAACTGGACAGTGGCGTAGCCAGGATTGTCTCAAGGGGGGGGGGGTCCAATTTTTACACTGGGACAAACTTTCGATTTGCACCCCCCCCCCTCAAACTTTCGATTTGCACCCCCCCCCCCATCATACTTTTTCTATATACCAAGGGGGTTATGACCCCCCCTGCCTACGCCACTGGAATGGGATATTTGAATGCTGTGTAAGAATAAAACCTTGAGCTAGGGTAAATAGACGGCGTGGCCTAGCGGTAGAGTGCTAGATGACTAACCCGATAGTCTCAAGTTGGAATCAGAGTTCAAGTCAGTGGAACGTCCCTGACTCCACCCAGCTTTGATGGGTACCTATTTCATATTAGAGAAAGTAAAAGTGGCTGGGGAAAGTGTTAACCACACCTTCCCTTCATATGCCAAGGTCAAGAAAATGAACTCTACTTCCTCTGCCCTATGGATTGCTAGGTCTGAAAAAGATTTTTTACTTTTATATTATTGTATGATGGGATAGTGTGGCTTGGTGGTTGACGCTTTACCTGAAAACCTCAATTTTGGATTGTGGACTAAAATCTGTAAATTTCCATTAGTCGACTTACATGAAATAGCTGAGGCTTGAATAAGATTTTTCTCCTGTTACTGTGATGAAAATTTATGTTGGTTATTTAATGACGTGTTTTTGTGTTTATATAATTTTCTTTTTGGTTTTAAGTAAAAATTTTGTGTCTACTGACTTTTATCCATTATGTGCTGAGCATTTTGTTAACATTTTTAAAAGCTTATTTTAGAGTGGTTTTGTCTTTGGTATATTGAATATTTAAAGTTTTTTCTTTTTAATTAAAATTTTTGTGTCTACTGATTTTTAACCATAATGTATTGAACATTTTAGAATGATAGTTCACCATTGTGTTGAAATTTTTAAGAGCTTATTTTAGAGTGGTTTTGTCTTTGGTATATTGAATATTTAAATTGTTTTTAAATAAAAATTGACAGGATAAAGAAGAAAACGGCGACCCAGGTGTGTCCTCTGCAGCTGAGCTACAGGCCAGACGTCGGGAACTTGAGAAGCAGGATGAGGTCATGAGGTCAATGGAAACCCTACCCCAGGCTTACAGCGGGATGCCATACAGGAGCTACCAGCAGCAGGCGGCGCATGTGGACAGGCCTGACCAGGGTAAAGCTCCCTCTATGTCCAGTCTACAAGCATATGGCAGGCCACCTATAGCAGCCAAACCTACCATTGCTCCCAAGCCTCATGCACCGTCTGTCGCAGGTTCTCAAAGTACCAGGGTCGGGGAGTCTTTTGTTTGATTTTTACATTAACATCTGCTGTATTTTTTATCCACCTGATCTGAAATAATGTGTTTTTCAAGAGCCCCAGGAATATATTGTGAATTCTTATTTTGTTGCAACATTAAATCCATCTTGTCAGAAAAAATAATAATTGTAGCAAGTGTACATTTCTATAAGTTGCACAGTGCTTCAAACCATAGAGATTTTTGTCAATTTTTTTAGCCATGTTTCTCTGTCTTTAAGAGTTGGTCATAAATCATTACCTCCCTTGAGATACTATAATTTCTGAGTTTTGAATTGGCAATTATAACAGTTACCTACCCTGTTTAATTTATCACATCAGAGCTTTCCAATAAGAAATTTTTAAGTATTTCACAATTTCCTGAATCATTTTTTATAAGTGTTAGTGATCTTTAAAAGGGTTTAAATTTGAATTGTCTCTTATAATAGAAAAAAATATATTTGATTGGTTTTTGATTTAGGTAGTTATGCCTTAATGTAGAACAAGTTAAACCCCTAAATAGCAACATTGTGATTATGAAACGACCTTGAGGAAATAATTTTTTCCACTTCCAGAAAGAGCTCTTGATCATCATTTAATAGCCTTGACTGTTCCGTATAGATTTTGTTAAAATTATAAAAATAGTCTCCAAGTGATCAATTTATACATAGCCTATGTTGTGCCTTTTCATGAAAAATAAATTGAAGGGGTTTTAGCACAATATAATTTAAATAAAGTTAAAAGTAATACATTATTTCTGTTAATTCATCATTCCATTGTAAATTTTCCTGATGTAAATAAACCAACACTGTAAATATTGAGAGAGGTTTAGTTCCACTCAATGCATAACAAATAGTTGTACATTTTATCAAACAATCTAACTGGCACATTTTCTCCTGGTTTTACTGGTAGAAGAGTTACACATTCCAGCACTGATTTCCATATAAATTACCTATCAAGAAACACAGTGTAGCGCTAAGCGTGACTGCTCATTGTTTTAAATGCATAATTTTTGAATCTATATCTGTCAACACAGTTTTTGAAAAAAAGAATTATACTCAGCAAATTATGTGTTTGAAGCTTATTATTCTTGGATGAAATAAGTTTAAAATGTTTGTGCCTGTCAGATACTAATGATTACAAATAATTGTTTTTTAATGTATATAACTTCCATTTTGATAAGTAATAAAAGTTATATTAATAAAATTTGTTTTGTGAAATTACTATTAGCATTACATAAACCAGTAAACCATAGAAAAAAAAGATAGGTACACTGTACCCTTTGACCCCTGACATTCCCTGGGGCAGGTGGAATGGAGTCAACTTTTTCAGTGACCTAGGCATATGAAGAGATAGTGTGGTCAGCACTAAGACCAACTACCTTTACTTTCCCTAACAAGAGTCAGGTAGACTTCAGAGCTAAAAGTACACTGAGTAGGCCACAAGCTTTATCATCATAAGAATGTACGTATGTGAAGGTTAGATCTATTCAAATATTCGCCTATGATGTTCACAGGTTCACTGGTTTACATAAGGCTTCTTTACATCAAATTAGTGACACAGTAGCTACAGACGCGTAGCGACCCTTCCCGGGGACAAAGTTTCAATTTGGCGCCCCCTCGGGAACAACCTTTCAATTTGCACCCGCCCCCTCAAACTTTCAATTTGCACCCCCCCCCCCTCAAACTTTCAATTTGTACCCCACCCCATCAAACTTTCCGTTTGCACCCCCCCCCCCCATGTATTTTTTATAATTATAATGCAAAATGCAGCTAAAATGAGATTTTTAATTTGTTTTTCCAACCCATTTTGGCGCCCCCTAAGGTCGGCGTCCGGGGGCATATGTACCACCCCCCCCCCTCGCTAAGCCTCTGAGTAGCTAAGTTCAATGTAAGGTTATATTATGTTTTTCTATGGTTTACTGGTTTGTGTAATGCAGTGTGACAATTTTAAACTTCAAAGGACGATTAAAGTGCGCCAGATAGCTTTACAATGTTTTCCACAACGACAATGTTGAGGGGCGTAGAGTTCACGTGTAACAGGTGGCAGCATGAAGCACAGTGTGGTGTTGATATGAATGGCGTGTTCTGTGCTGTTGGTGTGGTGTGGGTGTTGATGAGATATAAAGCATAGGTGTAGACTCTGAGATTGTGTTGTGGGTGTGTGCTCAAATGATAAATGACCCGGGCACTAGGTTGATGGTCTTTTTCTCGAAACCAAAAGTATCACCTAAACTTCAAATTTAACTGGAAACGAAAAATGTAATTGAAAACGGATTTTTATCCAGAATCTGCATTTTAACCGCATCCGGAAATTTAACTTAGATAAAACACATAATAACCCCATCCTTAATCCTGATACTAACGCTATATATATATATATATATATATATATATATATATATATATATATATATTAGTTTTAGTTTTCTATATTAGTTTTCTATATATACATTCACTTCTAATATTAGACCATTAGAGCTCCCTAAAGAACGTCTACCGCCCCCCCCCTCGAGCGAAATAGAATTTATAAAGCTAAACATCAATTATGCAGACTGTTTCTTTCAGACTTTTTCTCTCCAGGAAGGGGGTACTTGACATGAAAATCGGGGGGGGGGGGGGGTTGAAACTGGCAAAAGTATATATTTTTATATAAATTATATATTTTCGTTTTATATATTTTATCTCGTTCGGAGGATGGGGGGGGGGGGGTACGTAGTAGTTCTACGGAGATGGTGGGGGTACTCCGTATCCCCCCCCCCCCCCCGAAGAGATGCCTGAAATAAACTCTGCATGCAGTCCACTTTTGTGATTAGACAAAAACATTATGCAGTAATGATTGTTTTTTGGTTGTGTTGTGTGTATACTTTGTATTGTATTTTGTGTTGTTTTGTTTTATAAATTGTTTTATGTCGCACATCATTTGTGTTTTTTTTTGTTTTGTGTTCTTCAAATAGTACTATTTTAATGTAGGCCTATTTTACACCGCAGCAAAGAAATGACATACAGTTAGTATCACCCTTACCTCAAAAGCTGCATACGCCCCTGGAACTGATAACCATTATTCTCGCACGTGTAGTAAACGTGGATCAATCATGTGACATTTATGAACGAATTTTTATACGTCACCAAAATGCTATCTTCCTTTGCCGGCTCCAAAATGAGAGAAAATTCTTGTCTATTGGGTACGAAGGTACAGTATGGTTCTATTTTACTTAATTATTCTACAAACCTTTTTAAATTTGCCTAAGACATTGCTTATAGAGATTCCTTGAGATGTCGATGAGTTATTTTATATTTATTTTTTAGAAAAAGAAAAATAGTATATAATCAGGTATCTATATATATATTTCTCTTCTGGGAGACGTTAGAAAACAAGCTGTAAACGCGCCGAGCAGTCCCCTCTTTTCCTCTCTAGGCATATCGCAACCACCCCCACACCCACATGGTCTGGTGAGTTGTAGTTCACGCTAAATGTTTACATCGTAGAGCCGGGTTTAGTGACGGCTATTAGGGGCAGATAATTTAGTATAAAACTATTTTATACTTAGGGGAAGTAACTAAGTGGAGGCTGCTTTCACGTGGGTGGGGGTGGGGGGGGGGGGTAGGGGTTGGGGGAAAGTAGGGTTTTAGTGTTGTAAAGCAAATATTTTCAGTGGCAGCATTGGTACTGTCGAATTCACAAATTATGAATTACTGAAAAGTAGAAAATAAAACAACTAAATAGCGGCGTATGATACGCCGCGGGTCGGCTCGTAGTAATTAAAATCTCTCTTATATTCAGGTTTCCCCTACAGCGTTAATCCTGCTGACTTTGAGCTGCATTGTTCAGCTACTTTCGGCAGTTGATGGTTCCCTAAAGCAACCACTGATGTTGTCACCTTTAATCAGCACACGTCAAATCAAGCAAGCGCATGAGCTAAGTCTTGTAAAAGATGAGAAATCTGTCATACCGAACAGCCACGCTGGGTTCATTACTGTGGACAAGAAACTCGGAAACCATTTGTTTTTCTGGTTCTTTCCTTCAATGTCCGGGGCTGAATCCCCGCTTGTGGTTTGGCTAAATGGGGGCCCGGGAAGTCCCTCAACAATGGGTATATTTTTTGAGAATGGACCAATTCGTCTTACGAGTAACTGGTACGAGCGTAGCAACATTTCGTGGACACAGACAATGTCAATGTTGTACATAGACAACCCCGTCGGCGTCGGCTTCAGCTATTCAGACAGTGGGAGCGCCGGATATAGGATCGACCAAGATGGCTATTCTAAAGATCTTTATGAGTTTATCGAACAATTTTACATTCTATTTCCTGAATACCAGAAACGAGAGTTATACATTGGCGGGGAGTCTTATGCCGGAAAGTATGTGCCTGCATTCGCTCATTATTTGCATTTAGAAATCAAAGCTGGAAGATCAAACCAGACTTTAACAGGTATTTATCTTGGAGGTCCATTCTTTGACCCGTATGAGCAAGGTCTTGCGATCTCTGACTATCTACTTTCTGTTGGCTATATCTCAAGAATGGAAGCAAATCATCATAAGAATGACATTAAAGAGATTTTCGATGAATTTCAGCACAAAACACTAAATAACAGCGAATTGGGCAAAATGGTAGGCAAGTATTTTTTTTTAAATGCCAATGGATTTAGTACAGACAACTATTATTCTGGTGAAGAGCCAAAATACGAAAACCTGAATACAGTCGTGAATTCAACTTATTTGAGAAATCTGGTTCACGTTGGAAATGTGACTTTCAACGATTGGAATACAGAGATTAGATACAAAATGCTGAGAGATACATTAACCAGCACAAAACCCAAACTAGCCGAACTTGTTGAAAAATACAAAGTTTTAATCTACGGAGGTGATCTTGACGCTCTTATGAGTCCTGCTATGATTGACGCGGCCCTGCTGTCCATGAAGTGGTCCAAAAAAGAAGAGTACAACAACGCGGAACGTTCTGTTTGGAGGGGTGGTGATGGCGCGCTGTCTGGGTTCTATTCCAGAACTGGGAACCTCTGCCAGGTTGTCGTTAAAGGTGCTGGACATTCGGTGGGCCTTGACCAACGGAAGAGAGCGTATGACATGATGAATTTTTTCATTCAGAAAGGCTGTATCGGCAAGTGATGGACGAAGTGCATGTAGACCACTGACATGACAAGCAATGGTGTAGTCTAAGATTATATATATATAGGCATATATATATATATATATATATATATATATATATATATATATATATATATATATATATATATATATATATATATATATAAGATCTAGGAAAATTTAGAGTCAGTTATCTGAATGACAGAAATAAACAAAGTAATTGCACTTTTGGTTTTTATTTTTTTGTTCAGCTATCTTATAATTTTAGTTGTAAGTTTTAGAAAACACTACCCCTCACCACACCTTATCTTCAGTTCTACACAGATAAGTAAGTTTAAATTTTCTTTTTGTCCTTGAATAGTTTCGGGCTAATTTGACGCAAAGAAACGGCTTCTGCAACTTCTTGGAAGATTACATGTCCGAATTTTTTTTTTGCTTAAAACTTACGCGAAGCACAATTTAATACTATCCTCTGCCCTTTCCCCCCACTCGTACCTATATACAACCACCATAATATATATGGTGGTTATTCTTTATAAATGTATGAAAACATAGGACAGTGTCAAAGAGAGAAAGGAATGCTGCTGGACATCAAACTTTTCAAAAGTTGTTTTGAGAACAATAGGGCTGGTAAGTAGGTCACCAACCAGTTCTACGGCTAAATAAAACCAGCATGGGCCATAGAACTGGTTGGTGACCTACTTACCAGCCCTATTTGGGTAACGCTGTGTATGCATAACAAAAATACCGTATGTTTGCTGAACAGGGTTTCCCACTATAATTTAATTGTGCCCGATGAAAGTTTTAATAGACCCCCCCCCCTTCCCACACCCGAGAAGAATTTTCTGGAAAAAAAATACACTGGGCCTGACCATGTCAAGGCCCACATCCTGTCATATATGTTATTCAACAATAGGGCTTGTAAGTAGGTCACCAACCAGTTCTATGGCTCATGCAGGTTTTATTGAGCCGTAGAACTGGCAGGTGACATACTTACCAGCCTTATTTCACAACTCACTCTTCCTTAAGTTAGCTGTTAAGTAGGTATGTCTTTACTCAGTAACCGTTAACGCAATTGTGAGAAGTAAAGGGCAAAACTAGTAGAATTTACGACTTCGTCATCATTATGAGAATAAAGGCCTTCTACGTTTCAGAAAAGGCCGTCCATTATATCCTGGAAAGAACTCGGATCATTTCTTAATCCAAAAGACATTCGTCTGCAGAGGTATTGTCCATTGGGCATCCCTAAAGCAGCGTCCTCTTCTATCATTACAATAAACCGGGAGTGATCTCCCCTAAACTTTCTCGAATATTCTAATATAACACTACAGGGGATGGCAACTCGGGATATAGACTTCTAGACATGATTTTTAATCCATTTTAAATACTCACATTTCTTAAAGTAGAATATAATCTCGTAGAAAAAAGAAATGCACACCAAGTGAACGCTAAATAAAAAAGCGCATAATAGTGCGCAATATTATTAGTACTTTATAAATTTACATGTGTTTTTTTGAGAAATCGGAAATAGCGTAAATAAGTACTTCCGGTCAACGGAAATTACTCAAAATTTGACAGAAGGTAGAGAATTAGCTCTTTTACTTACATATCAAATTTCATTTATCTATCTGAAATAGTACTCAAGTTATAGGCTTTTGAAAAATTCAAAGTAGAAAAAGTACCACTTCCGGTTAACTGAATTCGCTCAAAAGTTGATACGGATCTACGATTTTGATAAAATACTTATATATGAAATTTCACCAGCCTAGCTGTAACGGTACTCAAGTTATCGTGTTTACACACGGACACACAGACACACAGACACACACACAGACATACGGACAAGATTGCAAAATTATGTTTTTCCGTATCAGTGAGGTGTAAAACGTCGAGATTTGTAAAAATCTCGATTTTTTTTCTTGCACGATTACAATACTTTCTCTATACTACGTATATACGAGAAAGTAAAAAAGGGCTATAAAACTGGTTACTGGCTTGTCTAGTAGTCTTGATTCTTTTTTTCACAACTAAAATACTGCCATTAAATAAAAAGATAATATATACTACATTAATTTTTTTATATAAAATATTCCACGAAACAGCCCCCTCTTACTTATCAGACCTATTTTCTTTTAACATAAAATTAAATCGTCTTCTTAATATACCGTTCCCATATACAACTTTTTTCCAAAAACATAGCTTCGCCTACTCTGGTTCTAATTTGTGGAACAATCTTTCTAATAAAATAAAGCTATCTAGATCTGGAAAAATATATTCAAATCTAAACTAAAACAACAATTATTTAATGACCTCTCTAACTGACTAATTGAAACATTTCTCATTCATCTATTATATTCCTTTTTAAAAAAATATCATTTTGTATTATAACTTTGTAACATTATTCTTTATTCCACATTTTAGTGCTATGTTACTGCTATGGTTTTTAGCGCAATGTCCATACTGGCAATTGCGTTTAATAATGCGTCATTTCTGGATGGATGGATGGATGGATGGATGGATGGATGGATGGATGGATGGATGGATGGATGGATGGATGGATGGATGGATGGATGGATGGATGGATGGATGGATGGATGGATGGATGGATGGATGGATGGATGGATGGATGGATGGATGGATGGATGGATGGATGGATGGATGGATGGATGGATGGATGGATGGATGGATGGATGGATGGATGGATGGATGGATGGATGGATGGATGGATGGATGGATGGATGGATGGATGTATGGATGTATGGATGTATGGATGTATGGATGTATGGATGTATGGATGTATGGATGTATGGATGTATGGATGTATGGATGTATGGATGGATGGATGGATGGATGGATGGATGGATGGATGGTTGGATGGATGGATGGATGGATGGATGGATGGATGGATGGATGGATGGATGGATGGATGGATGGATGGATGGATGGATGGATGGATGGATGGATGGATGGATGGATGGATGGATGGATGGATGGATGGATGGATGGATGGATGGATGGATGGATGGATTGATGTGTGGATGTATGGATGTGTGTTCGCAGCTTTAAGTCGTATCTCCTCTTCAACGAAGCAATATCGAGGACTAGTTCCAAAAGCAAATATGTTAAGCAAGTTCCGAGGATGAACATAGGCCAAAAAATTCCCGGAATTCCTTACTGGATTTCCCGGAAAAGCCAAAAAACCTCGAACAAATGCAGTTTTTGCTCCATATCTCGGCAACCAGACCACTTAACGATTTGAAACATTTACCAATCGATTCCTGCCATAATTTAAACCAATATTGCCGAAGAAAGTTTTCAAAAATATCCTTTCGTTCGGTCACAAAAAATTAATTAAGAACATTTAAACTGAGCATCGTGTAGGCCTAGGATGATATTTACTACTTTTTTAAACTGAGCAACTTGTAGGCCTACTCGTTAAAATAAAACTATTTCCGTTGATATAGGTTAATATAGTTGTCTTTTTTTTACCTTATTAATTCAAACGTTATTTTTGTACCCTATTAATTTATTTATAATTTATATGAGAGTGATAGGGAGTTACAATTACAAGGTTTTGTTTCGCTAGGCCTAATAATTTTTTCACAGTTTTAAAAAAATTAATTAAGGAAATTGCGCTTAAATTGTCACTAGACTTTTTATTAACTTGTTTACTTTCTCGTATAGAGAAGATCTTGTAATCGTGCAAAAAAAAAATCGAGATTTTTACAAATCTCGACGTTTTACACCTCACTGATACTGAAAAACATAATTTTGCAATCTTGTCCGTATGTCTGTGTGTCTGTCTGTGTGTCTGTCTGTGTGTAAACACGATTACTTGAGTACCGTTACAGCTACGTTGATATGTAAGTATTTTATCAAAATCGTAGATCCGTATCAACTTTTGAGCGATTTCCGATAACCGGAAGTGGTACTTTTTCTACTTTGAATTTTTCAAAAGCCTATAACTTGAGTTTTTTTCAGATAGATAAATGAAATTTCACATGTAAGTAAAAGATCTAATCCTCTACCTTCTGTCAAATTTTGAGTAATTTTCGTTGACCGGAAGTACTAATTTACGCTATTTCCGATTTCTAAAAAAACGCATGTAAATTTATAAAGTACTAATAATATTCCGCACTATTATGCACCTTTTGTTTTGCCGTTCGCTTGGTGCGCAATTCTTTTTTTCTATGAGATTCTATTCTATTTTTAAAATTTTAAGTAATTAAAAATCATGTCTATATTCCAGGTTACATAAGAATATTCGAGAAAGTTTAGGGGAGATCACTCCCGGTTTTTTTTTTTTTTTTTTTGCCACTGAATTGACTTTCCGAAAGTCCTAGCAGAAAACGGTATTTCCCATCAGAAATATCGGCATAAGAATTACAAGCGAAGACCAATTACTGTTGCTTAGTAATGTTGTTGTTCAAGATATAATGAACGTCCTACAACTCCGAATTAACGCTTTTTGGGTGTTGTTTCAGCTTAGTCAACTCGGCGACTTCAATAGCATGTTGATAGAGATTCGTTGTTTTTTTTAGTATCTCGACATATAAAAGCAAAATTATATATACGATTAAAGAAAGCTGTCTGCTTTTCGGTCAGATGTGACATTGTACGTCTTAGATTGTCGAATATTTAATAATTAAGTAGACGTGTACCCTTCTAGTATTTCATGTTCTTTTCTCGAGATCCGCCGCCGATGGGTGGTCCTGGGACCGTCTGTGAAGTAGAGACTTGTGGCGGGGCATCAGGCGTTTAGCAGCCTCTTGTGTGTGTGTGTGTGTGTGTGTGTGTGTGTGTGTGTGTGTGTGCGTGTGTGTGTGTATGTGTGTGTGTGTGTTTTGAATTATTTTTTTAAAATACAACTATCTGAAATGGTAAATAAAGCGCACCACCATCTATAGCTGTAACTTAACGTGCGACAACCACTCCACACTTATCTCTTTGGGTGGTGGAGGGGGAAAAAATCCCTCCTGGCTAATTAACTGTTCTGTCGTTTCTAGAACAATAGTATGCACCTGTCTTCTTGTCCTTGAATAGGTTCGTGCTTTTGTGACGCACTGAAGCTGTAGC